GCAAACTGACAGCATTCTAGCAGAAGGTACACTTTCGCTGAGAAGAGGTGGAAGGAATCCTAAAACTCTGCTTTCTAAAGAACCACTCCCTTTACTGGAAGCTGAAGCGTGAGCTCACTTTCATATAAATTCATTTAATTACTTTAATGCTTCAAAATCTTTAAGACAAAAACTTTATATATGACATCAAATTATACCACACTCAGAGATTCTATTTAGGTGTGTTTAGACATTTGTACATTTATCATGCTCTGTGTTTTTAAATGAAGCTGTTTAACTTTCTGGGCTCACTTTAAAATTTTTTCTTCCTCTGCTTTAAAACCCATTGCATTGCTTTTTAAATTTTAGCATTACGTGTCTACACATAATCGGGCATAGAGAGATGATAGCTTCATATCCATACTGAAATCATCCTTCATGCAAATTTTTTAGGAATGGAAACATTCAGAAGCATAGACTTCATCTACTTTGTGAAAGGCCAAGGCAAAAACTTGTGCAGCGCTAAGCTTTCAGAATAGTAATGAGAGGTATGGAGGATGGATGCTGACTATCTGCAATTAAGAGACAGCCACACCTCTTAAGAAAACAAAACCTAGAATTAACAAAGTTCTGCTTAATTCCTGAAGCTTCTTTTCCCTAGACATCCCATATGGCAGGAAGCACACAACATTGCATGGTTTTCACAAAGCAGTCAGCAGAAGCCTCTGGGTTTCGAAGGCACAACTCATGTCCCTCAAGGTCAGCAGAATTATACAAGAAGTATTGCGATTTCATACACTCGGAAAGTTACTTTCCCACACCTGACATATGGTAATGAAGGCTCAGAACTGAAGCTGAAACAGCTATGCACATTACCTCCCTCAATGGCTTCTTCCACAATCATCTCATGATCCACTGACACAGTACAAAGTAATTTGCTGCCTCTCCTTTCCCCTCTCCTCCCCCATACATCCCTAACTCCTGCCAGCTGCTTCTGGTTGCTTTCATGTCGACATTTTATGGTCACTCCACTTTTGAAAAGTCTCACCACCCGATATGTTATCTATCATCACTGGGAAGAGAAGGTGATTCAGTAAGGCTCCTGTTTGGTGAAGCTCTTTCATGCTCTCTCCTGTGACTATACAGGCAGCCTGGCTCTTTAATTTAGCAAAATGCTCAGCGGTATGAGTAGCCTCCCAAGCTAAAGCTCGTATTTCAGAACATGTACCATAGTAGTTTTTTAAAAGATGCTCAACAATGCAGCAGATACAAGTTGAATTAACCCAGATATGGGAGGTGAAGGCAATTTCATTGGCTAAAACATAACTGAGAAGTCTGGAAGCCACTCTTTTAAAAGCAATCTGTTAAGAAGTCTCCAGCAGACAACCCTGGCTGATAAACCCTGCTGATCTCTATATTCTTCATGCTGATTTATAAATTACTGTTAAATTACTGACCACATGCATCCAGAAGTATGTGCCCCAGTACTACACTGGAAACCTATTTCATAAACCTCGTTCAGAATTATGGTAATTTCAATCCAAGCTTGCCAGAGTGTTATATCATTGTATTTATTGTATTTGTTTCTTAAGTCACATAAAATATGACAGCCTGACCCATGAATAATGGGAAAAATAAACTAGGTTAACATGTCAACCAAAAGTTTCACTAGTAGATTCCATGTGTAAGTCTTTGATAGTGAAGTGACTTGCATTTGCTCACTCATGCTCTCTCTCCCCAATGTTTAACTATTTAATACCAGCAAATTTTACTCAAATTAAATGAAACATCTAGGTATTTGGCACATAAATTTGTGAGACCAGCTTTAAAATCCCAGACACAGATTCTATACTGCTAAATGGAAAGAAGGCCTGACTCTTGTGTTCCAGCATTCCTTGCACGATGCTTGAGTTCACTTAAAAATCTTTACATTCAAATTCACTTACCCAGTTGTAAGTCTTACAAATTTTCAACTTATGTGTAGTCAGTTTACTCACTGTAAATGTTTCAGTAGTGAAACAGTAAAGCAGACTCCTTCCTCCCACAGAAGGAATTTGCTTTAACACAGACCAACTGAACTAAACGTAAAAGTGAAACTTTTCTGGAGCATACACACCCAAAAGCTTTGCTGATGCCCATAATAACTGCATGTGGATATTTAAAATGTGTTATTTTTCACTGAGTGAATTTATATAGTATGCCTATTTTTCTATATTACTGTGCAATAAGTGTATCTTTAGCATGTGATAAACAACTGGGGTTTTGTCTCACTGAGTCTAAGCATAACACAAGCGTAGAGAAAATGGTCAGTGAGTGAAAAAATAATTGTACCCAATAAAAGCAGTAGTAGCAGAGCTGACTAACATGAGACAGCATCAGGCTTCTTGTGCAAACCAAAGATACGCTTTTTGCGTGCATCTCTGAATTACTCAGATGTTATCTTCCAGGGAAGAAGTCTGTTGGAGAAGGCTTGTACTGTTAGAAACCTTGGAGGGGTCCTGGTTTTGGATAAGGACGCAAAATCTTTCCTTATCAGCTAATCCAACATGCCTCTGAGCACACTCAGGTTTGTAGCGGGGAGAGTTCTGACTACACAGTGCCGTGCATGGAGCAATACACATTGTTTAAATACTGTGAAGGGTTTGGAGTACCTGGGATTGTGGCCAAGGGTGAAACACAAACCTCTGTTTCTCATACCCTAGTTCAGCGAGGTTTGGAGAGTCCCTAGATCTTGCTGATGTGAGCAGAAGGGTAGGAACTCCCACTAGGTCACAGGAAGGAGACCTCAGCGACAGAATACATAATCGAGCTACTCAAGTTCAAGAGCAGTTTAGCATGGGCCTCCATTAAACTATACAGTCAGAGCCCTTTGCCAAAAACAGAGTTAAAAGTGAAGGGAATTTTCCACAGTTCTAATATTTACAATTATTTGTACATATGTACATATTTATATATTTATTCATACCTGGACAATGTGAGTTAAAGGGATAATTTATAATTTACAAATGAAACATTTTAAAAATGTATAATTATACCATGAAAAAAACCTTTTTTTTTATTGCTTGCCTTCCAGCCTTATGCTCATAATCACACTATTGCACACATCTCCATGTTACATGGAAGATCTACATTTATATATAAATATATATGAAAATAAGGATATTTTTATTTTAATGTTCTGAGTAAAGTGCTCATTTTTTAACTACTGTTGATGAGAAAGGTTTAATCTGACAGCTTAATTAGAGGGACTTCAAGGGATACACACCTCGCCCATGGTTCTCCCTTTCATTTATAACTTACAAAATGTCTTTATTTTACTGATGTCAACTCTGTCTTAACAATTAATTCTATTCATAATATGCATTTGTGACCTTGGCATCTATACTGTCACACAAAGTACAAAACAGAATCACATTAAAAGCAAAGAAAAAGCAAGAAAATAAAACAGCGAATGAAAGCAGTGTTTCTCTTTGTTGTTTTTAGCACATTTCCATGTCTTATGATACTCTTTTATTTGATTTTAGAAATATTTGTACAACTTTGTTGAACTCTGAACATATCTATTTTATGCACTATACTCAAGTACTGTACAAAACTGCAATAAATGACACTATACGACTACATATGTCTCTACTAGAAGACATCATCATAAAGGTGTATCTTTTTTTAAAGGTCAACTAATAACTGCTAATGTATGTGTGAATCAAAATATTTTTGATTGGCCAAGTATACTAAAATCTAAATACAGTACACAATTATTACTTACGTCATGATTTACCAGGCCTTTAGGGGCATAAAGAATCTTTGCAAAGGCTCAGAAGAAAAACAATTTTACTGATCAGTATTAAATGTTCATATAAAATTGCAAATGGCAGCTCCAATTTTGTTATACTTGCGTATATGAAATACAGTTGATACCTACTGATGATGCATGACCTTTTATTAAAAAAATAACATTCAAATCTTAGCAAAACCATTTCTAGTATACAAAGTTGTTGTAAAGTTATGTCAGCGAAATGTAAAGTTGCGATTTACAAAAGCAGCAGTAAATTTTATTATATGGACAATTTCCTGGACTTAAATCATGGTTCTTGTTTCCCTTGAAAAGAATGCTTTCTGGGACAAATACAGGTAAATATTTTAATGGTAGGTTTTAGGATAACATTAAGCAAGGAAAAAGAGTGTATTATATTACCAATATACTTAACCCTGAAAAATTTCTGAGTGCTTTTATGAACCTGACAATAATCCAATTAAGAACAAAATAAAAAAGAAAAAAGAAAATCCAACTTTGCTGAACCAGTCAACCTGGTTTAGCAGCATCAAACAAATAGAACAGTGAAAAGAACAAGAGTTTCACTAGCGGAACTTGGTTGATATTGGAAATTTGATTAACACTTGCTTTTCCCTGAAATCAGTTAGAAGAGTTTATTAACAACTTCAAACAGGACAGAAGTAAGAAACTTGTGGCTTTTGCATTATATATTAGTCTTTACTACCTCTTCAGCCTACCTAGTATCCAGAATGTTTGTGAACAGTAGAACTCTACTACCTCCGTACTCTGTTATGTACATGGGTACTGCTATTGTATGAAACAATTACACCTTTTTTAAAAAAATTGCTTTTTTAAATGACAGTTTCTTTCATTAAAGTAGAATTAGTTACTTTATAGAAAAATATTTTAACTTTAAATTAAAAAAATACTGTTCCTAAATAATTATGTAGGATCGTATCTTCCTTTCATTGTATGGAGAGAATATAATTCTGTATATTTGAATCCTAGTTTAACAGAACTCCCCTGGGTATAACTTTTTAAGAGCTGGCTATATTTACCATGGGTGCTATCTGTTTACAGACCCATGAATTAACACTGTGTCCCTCCTTTGGAGATACACAGATAAGACATCTATATACACTCTGTACATAATGGTTCACAGATTAGCAGTTATTAGTCGTACTGTACATAGCGAACAACCTATCTGATTAGAATGATGCTTTAAGTCCTCAGTGCAATTCAGCTTTTAGGTTGATGGCGCAAAGCCAAGTAAGACAGGCTCCCTGTTTAAATATGTAGCCCAATACACTAAATTGAAAGTACCAAATAAGACTGGAAACACTATTCTAGACATTCTGTCAATTTTGCTAACGCTGTTGAATGTCTTCTTTGCCTCCTGTGGCTTCGCTTCTGGTTTTGCCTTGTTGGGTTCTGCAGTTGTAGCGCTCTTGGAGATGGTTGGTAGCACTGAGTCCTTGGTAATATTTGGAGCATAGTTGGCAACAGCCACTGCATAGGCATTGTTTTTCTTAATGACAGACGCTTTTTCTTTTTTCTATTGGAAGACAGCATGAAGTTAAATTTTTAATGGGTATTTGCCAGAACAGACTTAATAAAACATCATTTCAAATGTAAAAGAAACAAACAAGTATATGTGAGCATGTTAAAATAAATACCAGGAACCCCATCCTGATAAATTCAAATATAAAGACAGACGCTTCCAGTCTACCCAAAAAGAAGATACAGGTAACCTAAGAATGCTCTAAAAAAATGGACTCTTGCATCATCAAATGCCCTCCTGAAGTTATGTGAGGAAGGGTCTGTTGCTGCCATTATATGGACAACTGGTAAAGAGCTGGTCTTTCTCTAGCTGCTTTGTACCTGGCTCCTTACAACAGAATTGCAAGATCTTTAAAATGTTGTCTGTTAAGTGAACCAGAAGGCATGAATGGGTGGACTGGGAAAAAAAGATTACCTGGCATTGCAATAAAATGAAAATAAGGCCATCTTTCTCACATAAATCTAGCATCACTATTGTTTGAATATCTCATAATGTACCACCAATAAATAAAGGAATTTCAGCAATGGTCTACATTTTTAAGAGATTCTGGAAAAATATGTGTGTGTTTACATGTATATGCATATAGACACAAACACAGAGGTCAGAGAGAGATTGCAATTAAGAGGAAGAAGGACTCCAGCCTGGTAGTTGCAGAAGTGAGCTGAGAACTAGCCCATGAACTACTTCTGGGTTTTGGAAGTTATTGTTTAAAAAATGCATAACAGAGATGAAAATGTGGATTAGAACCTAAAAAAATAACAGAAGATAAGAAAAGTGGGATGGAATGACAAGAATTTAATGAAGTTCAGCAAAGGAAAATTTAAGTCCTGCACCTGGGGAGGAATAACCCCATGCACCAGTACAGGTTGGGGCTAATGGGCTGGAAAGCAGTTTTGCAGGAAAAGCCCAGGGGGTCCTGGTGGACACCAAGTTGGATACAAGCCAGCAATGTGCCCTCGCAGCAGTGAAGGCCAACAGCCTCCTGGGCTGCATTACAGAGTGTTGCCAGCAGGCCAAGGGAGGCAATTGTTCCCCTCAACTCAGCCCTGTTGAGACACATCCGGAGTGCTGGGTCCAGTTATGGGCACCCCAGTTCAAGAGAGACATGGAAATAATGGAGTGAGTCTAGAGAAGGACCACAAAGATGATTTAAGGCCTGAAGTATCTGAAATATGAAAGGCTGAGAAAGCTGGGACTGTTCCTGGAGAAGAGAAGGCTGAGGCAGAGAATCTCATCAATGTATATAAATATCTGCTGGAAGACACTAAAGTCAACCAGACCAGATTCTTCTCAGCGATATCCAGTAGAAGGACAAGAGGCAAAGAGCACAACCTGAAATACAGAACATTCCACTTAAATATAGAAAAAAACCCTGTTTTACTGTCAGCGTGACTGAGCACTGGAGCAGGTTGCCCAGAGAGGTTGTGGAGTCTCCATCCTTGGAGATATTAAAAAACTGTCTGGACATGATCCTGAGCAGCCGACCCTAGATGACCCCTGCTTGAAGCAGGTGAGTTAAATTTGATGATCTCCAGAGGTCCCTTCCAACCTCAGCAATTCTTTGTTTTTATGGGATTGTGTATGCTTTCAAATGGCTGAAGTTCAGCCAATGGCAGTCTAATGGACAGGCTATGTCTATAGATAGATACAGGGACGCATAGGTAATCAGTATAGGCTTGAGTTTTTAGATATATATTTAGGTACACAGATTAGTTCTGCAATAAGACTGTAATGCTATAAATTGATTCCCTGTTTTGCAGCAATCCCAAATGAAGGAACTTCTTATAACCTACAGGAACGAATGGAAGGATTTCAGTTTCTCAGGAAGCAAGGCTCTCCATATATAATTTAGAAGCAGGTAAATAAATACTAGATTCAGTCCTCTCTTCCACAAAATACAGAATTAAACAGATGAAGAAACAGTAAACTTGTGGCTCATATAAGAAATCAACAGCTGTTATATTGGTTTGGTTTGATTTTTAGTCTAATGGAAGTGGCACAAGTGAGGGAATTCTTGTGACATTTCTCATACAGGTGCATTCCATGTTTTTGCTTCCACTGGGAGACATCTACCCAATTTCGGATTTAAATTAGTGTCAACCTTATATTTGTCAGGGCCATTGACAAATCTTATCAAGATCTTCATGGTTAGATGCTCTGCCCCAAATACCTTGTCTCAGAAGATGGTATCACGTAAAAAGAAAATCTGGGACTAAGTGAGAATTCAGTATTGTTCCTTATTGACTGAAGTGTGAAAAAGGGCTGATCAAATATGTAGCTTGTGCCTGCACCTACATTCCTGTGAGATAAATTTCATGTTGACAGCACTTAGATGGGAATTTCCATAGAATGTGAACCCAGATGACTGTCACTGAGGAAACATATTTCTCTTTATTTGGTAAAGACTAAGCTTGGCTTTAGGTGCACAGATGCTTTCGGCAAAAATAAGAGCATATTACCAAATCAAATTATGATAGGAATGCTCTAATTGATCTATAATTCCTTCATTTTAGACACACTTAGTGTGTTTTTAAAAGGTATCTGTAATACCATTAATGAGACCTGCATAACAAAGACAAACCACATTTCTGTATGAGAAACTACAAATATGTTAGAAGTTTAGCTATTGTTAAGTCAGTTTGAAGAAAATAGAGAACTGGACATGTGAATGGTATATAAATCTCAAAATGGAATGGCTAATTTTGTCACTTCTAGGGAAGGAATACTACCTAGCTGTTAAACAGCTGCCACTCCTAAGATCATGAGGCAACACTGTATATTAATTTAAAGGAACAGCCAAAGGGTGATTGGAGAGCTTATAAGGGCTCCCTACATTATTATGATGCCAGGGCAATGTGCCAGTCTGAAAAGCTTCACTCGTGACACACTGATAAACTTGTAGTGATTTGGTACCCACTTCTAGCATGAGGGAACAGATCCTGAAGCTATGGATAGTTCATGCCCATCTGGAAACCACAGGGAATTACAAGCAATGTATTCTTTGCCTCTAATTCTCCTTTACCATTAACTGAACATTTTGCTTCTTTATGCATTGTGCTTCATGCACTCAAAGAGATGAGAAACCACCAGTTAATTAAACTTTGCTTCACCTCTACTATTATCATCTAGGAAGTAAATAATATTCTATCCTATTTTAAGGAGAACCACAGAAATCAGAGTATTCTTTGTCAGAAGAAATCCTTTTCCATTGGTAGAACCAGGGACTGGGATAGGACAAAATTATCTAATACAGTAAGTCAGTCAAAACAACAAGTCAGCTTTAACATCTGTTCTGTGTTATTAAAATTATAAACTGTAAAGCTTGACACAAATTTAGACGTATCACCAGTTCATTCTGTTCACGAAATAAGAAATTCTATCAGGTTAAATTTTCTTCTTGCTATCACACCTACACTACTATCAATACCAGAAAATTAAGGCATGACTCTTTCTGCCCACTCAAGAGCATCAAGACATCAAAAGTGAAGAAGTACTCAGAATTTTGTACAACTGCCACTTAAATTAGTTTAAAAATTAATGTCTACATATCATTAGGGATAAGATTCAGAATACTGAAAATGTTCCAAACATCTAGATTTTACTATTAATAGTTTTTACATATCTAGGCATTCAGTTGGTTTTCTGATCTTTAGTTACCAGGAAAAGTAAAATACATGATCTCTTTCTGTAATCTTTTTCTTATTTCCAACTCAATTGGATTAAATAATAAAAGTGATCAAGCAATGTAATCTGGATTCAATTTTCTGAATAACCAGATAAACAGTTGTATCTGAGGAGTCAAGAAACAAGTCAGACAGTTCCAAACATAAAAAAAATAATGTGTTTGATACCTAAATGTGGATTATTGAGACCAAGTGAAATTAGCTACATCAGGGCAGATATATTTTTGTTCAGGATGTAAAATACATCTACATTCTTTTGATTTAAAACATCTTGGTTATATATATATATATATAAATATATATATATAATATAGTATATAATTTTATCAAAACAATGTATTACAGCTGTTTTAGTGCAATTGACTGGAAATAGGGCTATTTCCTTAGGACTTACCTTATCATTCACTACACTTTTTCCATCCCAGGCCCATCCTCGTTTTGTGAAATAATTTACAGTTGCAAATTCAATTAATGCAGAGAATACAAACGCATAACAAACAGCAATAAACCAATCCATAGCTGTTGCATATGCTACTTTGGGGAGTGAATTTCGAGCACTGATGCTCAGTGTTGTCATTGTCAACACAGTTGTTACTCCTGCAAGGGGACAAAAAACCAGAATATCAATAATTTTACTTGGGTTTTGAATGTTAATGAAAATACAAACCAAGAACTATCATGTTATGTTTGTGAAACACAATGGAAAATTTGCTTATCTAAGTTAGTGAAAAACTGCCAGAACCATATTTAAAGGCTGAATCTGGAGTTTCCTTTGAGGTATTTTAGTTCAATTTTGTCATCTAAACTTCCCTTTTTTAAACAGCTGAAGATTGTACCTACAGGAGATAGATAATATTATTTTTTTTTTTTTTTAGCTATCAGGACAGGACAAAATTAATAATCCCTTGATGTAGTACTCGTAATATTTTGCAGCATTACAGTAATAAAGATTGATATGTTAATGTTTGGTGGCTGCAGGTCTGGCACTCATCTTTACTGACAGTACCACACAAATTGACCTTTGTTATTAGAAATAATGAAATTTTTTTATTTTTTATTTTTGCCAGTAGCTGTCTCACTAACCATCCAGTGACATAGTTGAAGACACAGACTGGTGAAGTTTTCATTCGGGTAACACAGATTTTTTTCTAGAACAGTATATTGGTTTGAAATGCCAGATTATTATAACTGTGTATTATGTGTCAGAAAACAAGACTTGATGATCCAGGAAGACTGTTCTTTCACTGCGGCAGTTATTAAAAACACTTTACAGTACTTTGTACATAATGAAGACCCAGTGGGAAGCCAGGAATTACACACCAAAAAAATCAGAAAAAAGATACATGGGAGGAAAGGAAGAGAATATTTTTCTGAATCGGTTTTAGCAAGCAGAAACCCACAGCTACAAACGCAGTCTCCATTCCTTAAGTAAATCAGTTCTCCCACCTCAGGCTGAATCACACTTTGACAAACTAAACTATTCCCTTTGTGGCACGCCATTAAATACGTCTCCAGAATTGAAAAGCAACGCAAAGTGATATACTTAGCACAGATCAGCAAACCTACACTCCATTATGACAGGCAAAGGAGATGCCACGGCAGAAATATTAGCAACAGCACATCACAGCTTCAACAACTACATGCTCATAAAATTGTTGTAAGAAGATTCCCAAGAGAAAATAAAGTCACCCCCCGCCTAAGCCAGATCCTCCACCATCAGCAATCTGCCACCTGGGTTCTGCAGGATCGACCCAGCTCAGATTTTCCTTCTGCTACAAGAGAAGCAGTTTTAACCACTGTGTTAGAGGGAAGAGAGGCAGCAATTACACCTACTCAGACCGCTTCATGCTTTGCAATTTCCATCCCTCCTGTAAAGAATCTCCGTCTCTGAGGGTGCTACAAAGGATGACAGAGCAAAGCTAAGTGGACTCGGCCTCAGCGCTACTCCCCCTCTCCCATCAGCGCTTCCAAAGGCCTGTGCCGCAGGGAAAACAAGGCACAGAACCATCCTGCCGAGTCACGCAGCATCCAGACGCCTTAGCAGACAGAATGGTCTAATTGCTATTTTTCAGCCTCCATAAATTAAAGAAGTGGATTTGGTCTGGCATCAGCCGTGACACTGTTGGGATCTACCAGCCTATACAGCGAAAAGGAAGCAGCTATCATACTATATTGTATGAAAAAGCGCAGGCAATATATTTTGTAAAGAACTTATTTGCTCCTAACACTTACACAACATATGACTTAATTATTTTCAGCACCTCAGGGAAAAGTCTATCTTACATTTAAAATTACCACATGCAAATTTTAACACCGGTCCCGAGCTACAGATAGATCATTTTAATTATACAGAAGTATCACTAAAGTGATTGTTTCTCAGAGGTAAGGTGACCTTATCCACATGTAAATATATACAGTTGCTAAGGTACTCTTCTGTTTAAGTTCTACCTTTTAGAATAAACTAATCTTCTGGAAGACCTATTGGCTTCTTCAGAAATCTAATTTAAGATTAACTGCTGACCTTTTCTAGTCTCAATTAAAACATCATTAATTTACAACTTGTGTCTTGCTACCAGTTGACAATTTCTCTAAAAAGTTCAGCAAGCCACACCACTTTGTGACCCAAATGCTAATCAAACAGCACATTGTCAGACAATTGCCAACATGGTTTCATTTATTCCTTCAATCTATAAATTCAGAGATGTTCAAGCTACCACAGTCATTTAACCTGAATTGAGTGGGAAAAAATTGGGCAGAAACCCTGTCAGTTTAGGAATCTCTAGTATTTTTATACTTGCTGTTCTTCAGTCAAAAGACAGATGATTTTGCCCATTATAGTTAATTTGAAAAATCAGTATTATCAAGTATTCTTTATGAAAAAAGGACTGAATGGAAATAACCTGCCTCCTTGTCACTGCTAAACCTGAGAGGACTGAAAAATTATTAATGTGGAGGAATATGGTCTACTTGTAAAACAAACCACATTTATTTCACAAAGAATTAACTTAAAACCCCACAAAACCCATATACTGACTAGATAAAAAAAATTTCTCATTGCATTAACTCATTCATAATACTAGTGAACTAAAATTGGTATTAAAACCAGTGAGTAGATTGTCCTGCTACAATGAGGTTGTCAAAATATTAGAGGAAAACAATCTTCCCCCTGAAATCATATACTACTCTGAACAGCCTAAATAATTTAACAGGCCATGTACAGAGTACAGGATATCTCAATATGATGTAGAAAGACCACAGTTTATATACAGGTCAAGAACTATCTTCTATAGCCCAGCACCCAGCACATGTGGCACTGAATGAGTGCTGGAAGGACATGGACCAGTCTCATTTTGTAAGAGTCCATGAGTAGTCATCAGTTTGTCTTTAAAAAGGATCCAAAAAAAAAAAAAACCCATTGATGTTTCCCTTCTCAAAGAGGACCAAGCATTTTATACTTGACAGTAAATACACCCCAACATCATTACAACTTTCATTCTCAGCAGTGCATGCCTATAAAAGCTAAATATCTTCTGTCACTACAGGTTTATCCATTCAGGCCAAGACTGGAGCTATTTGATTGCCTAGGATTTTTTTTTTTATGATGCCGCTTCTGAAGCGGCATCTGCTCGCTGGAGAGAGGATATCCATCTCCAGGGCTGTAAATTCAACACTTTTCACTGGCACTAAACTTATATATGTGGAAAATACCGTCTCTGTCATATTTTGGATTCCAGGACAGATGGATACCATTCACGATGTGTTTGAAGTTAGACAGCCACCTTTGGGCAAGCAATTTCTCTCACTTAATGATATAGGGCACTGCCACACTACAGCAGAGGTCGTAAACTGAAAAACCAGAAATGCCTAACTAAAAACATACAGTAGAAATTGGAGGAGCTAGCACATAAATATTAAAGTTAAAATCTGTCATGATGACTAGTTTATGCCCACATCTGTGTGCAAAAGTCAGGCTACCCCTTGACAGGAACAGGTTATTTTGGACCCTAATTTCACCTCCTGTGTATGAACCGTTTTTTCTAATTTGAACAGATTTTAATGCACTAAATCATGTTCTAGCCTTCTTGTGTTAGAATACAGACATCTCCTTTAAAAATGAAAGTGAAAGGCCTAAATAATGAGTTACCAAAGGGCATTTCTATAACAAAAGAGGTACTTCAGCTTTGCAAAAAATTTGTACAAAATGCTTGAAATGTGTTCTATTTCTTATAATGTCATGCTACTCCTCCCACAATTTTATCTTTTCATCATAGCACTTTGCAAAGATACAGATAATGGTTGAAGAACATATCACAAAAGGATTGATAAATTACTTTTTTTTGTATTAGGAAGCTAATTCCATTGCTCTATTATTTCACTCTTTCTTTTTTTCTTCCCAGTAATTGCAAATGTTGTTAGGTAATTAGATCACTCAACCTGGTCCTAAACATGAATAGATTTATAAATACAAATAGCATAGCAGAAAGAAAAGACTGTTGTCCCTTTTACAGCGATACAGATTACTGCTACTTCATTTTATCACTCCAAGAGTAAATGGTTGGAGATCTAAACAAAAGCTTAAAAATTCTGGAGACAGTGTAATTTTAAAGTATTATACCATAATAACATTTGGCTGCACACCTTATTGCCTCTATTTTACTTATGCAATGTATATGTATGACTTGAGAATACAATACAAAAGGAGCGTACATTGATTCTGTTTAGACACTGGGAGATAAGTCTGAACAACTGTTGAAAGATTGTAGAAAATAGCTCGAGTGCTCTGTCTACCCTTTTCACTAAAAGTACAACACAAAAGGCCAGAAGCCTTCCTAAATAGCATGGCAGGCCAAGGACCATAACATAATCTTTTTCCAGATAAGTTGCATTCAGTCAGTTGGTTAAGCTACATACACATATCGTCAAGTCAGTGCTCGTGTTGCTTCACTGTACCAATATCGAGCAATGGAACAGAGTTCCCATTGACTGACTGCCAAAAAATTCCCAAAGCTGAACAGCAAGTGCTATTTAATCCCAGCTCCAGTAAAAGTCACATGCCACTATGCCACTATTGGAACAGGAGCTAGTGTCTTGGCACACCACTGAGCTGAGAAGGCATATCAGTTCATTTGAAGCCAGCTCGGTCTCTAAGGGCTACAGTTTTCCAGGTATGCTTGCCCACTGCCTACCACTAGAGTGTTATGTCTACAGTTAGCAGAAATTCCTACTTAAGAAATTATAGACTGGGAGTTGTGAGTGGTGGGATACCTCTAAAGGCACAAACGATGCTCTGCAGCATGTGAAAGGAGAAGTAAATAAAAACAGTTGAGAAGTTTTTCAACGAAATGGGAAAAGGTACTTTGTATATACAGAATTGTTCAAAAGGAAGGGTCTACATTATTCAATTCCCATGTAAAAATAACCAGAGAACAAATCTGAACTTTTCTTAGGTCCCCCTTTCTTTATTTCCACAATTAAAAAGTCTATTTCAGGTCTAAATGACTTTTTGCTTCAAATGTACGCTAATTAATACAGGTTCTGAAAAGATAAACCAAGAACAAGCAAAACACAGGGATAGGAATGCAGCCTAAGAATTGAGTGATCACAGAGAACAGAGTCCTGACAAAAGAACATCGCTAAGTGAATTTAAAATTCTGCATCTTGAACATTGTACTAGAAAATAATACAATTTTTGTTCTTGCCTGCTTTGGGTATCAATGAATATATATCTAATTACATTCATGTTAACATCCTTATTCTTACTCCATGCAAGTTAAAACACATAGATAACTGTAACACTAAGAAAACTAATTTCTGATTTTTCTGTCACCTGTATCTAGTGCTGCTATTCAAGTATATGTGATGCTTCTAAATGTTATGACCCATTAAAAACGAAGCGAGAATTCAATAAGCTGCACAAGATTAGTTTTGCTAATATTGTTGACACTAAATGCGTAACAATAAACACATTACTAAATGAAACAGATTGTAATCTTGCACTAAATGAAGGCATTATGAACCAGGCTTATTCCCTTTCGTTAAAAATGCAATCAAATGCTTTTCAAATTTATCTGCTAGAGAAAGCACAATCATGACTTATTTAATTAACGATGATAAAACTTTCTTCTTCCAAAAATTTAAAGCAAAATTGAAACAATATAACATTAAGCCATAATTCATTTGGGATAGCTTAGGTCAACAATATTAGATAGATGCCATAAAGGAAAGGGATTTAAAAGCTCGACTATAAAAGAAGCCTCATTATACCAAGCCCTTAATCTTAACCTAGAACTTGAAACTATGTTGCAAGCGAATAGAAAGGGGAAAGAAAAATAGCTTCTTTCAAACATTAAATAATAAATGCTAAGTGGTGCTTTGAATAACTGGGAGTTACATTTCTTTAACTCCTGTAGTTAGTCCTTTCCAGGACATGGTAGCTCTCAGGAAAGTACTTGAAATAAATTTCTCATCAATTCTGAAAAACACTTTATCAAAACCAATACTTTCTCCTTAATCATATTTTAATATTGATATATTCATTATACAATGCAAAGATGGATATCTAGCAAGAGATTACTCCATATAAAAACTAAAAATTAAGTAAGATCAATAAAAAAGTAAAGTAAAATCTCCTGCGATTTTTATATTCCCTGCTGGAAATAGCTAGTTTTATTACTTTAGCTGTAGTATGGGCTTCACGTGTCACCAAGTGGAGCCTACCTGAAAGCACCACCCAAATGAGACCTTGAGTGTACCTGCCCAGCTCTAACTGGCAAGAGTAATTCACTACGAGTCAGAAAACAGGAAGAAGCAATAGATGAACCTCGTTATGAAACTGTGGCTAACTTCACATTTTTGAAACACATTTAGGCAAGAGACCAGAGGGTATCAGAAATGCCAGCAACAACTGCTGCCAGTAGGTATGGAGAAAGACTGGGAGATCCGCCCGGCGCTACATGATTAGACAGGCCATTGGCAGCTTATGCTGCCAATCTCATGTAGAGTGTAAAAGAATATTAAGAAATTGCTCCTCAGGGAACATCCAACCCAATGCAGAAGGCTAAGCCTGAGGTGCAAATGTTGCATGCAGGGGCTAGGCTGCTCCATCAGGAAGAGCCTGGATACGTCTTGCTCCCCTGGGTTCAGGGTGCCAGTCTAAGCCCGCTTGGAGGGGACGGAGCCCTGACTGGTGTGTGAAGTGCATGTCTGTGCGGCAGCAATAAAACACTAGCATGGAAGTTGTTATCTTCTCCAGCACTATTGTGCTTAGTAAACAGATTTTAGATTTTATATCACTGGGTGGTGTAGTTCTGGTTTTGCGACCATCCTACCCAATTCCCTCAAGACATCCTGAAACAGGACACTGTTCATTATCCATATTCTGCTAAACCTCCAGGAGAATAAAGCAGCAGGCTGCCATGCAGATATTACTTATTAAAAAAAATAAAATAAATTAAACAAAGAATAAATGAGCAACGCGAAAGAGGTATGCAGGAAGGGACACAACATTCCAGGAAAATGAACCTAGTGTCTTGTTATTGATGCAGTGCCTTGTTACCAACGACACAGCAACAGAAAGTTCATTTTAGTAAGAGAAGATGTGAGACTTTTTTTTGGACAAACCAGTTACACTGTGCTAAATGTATAGGAGGGGTACAGAAAAGGGCAAAGATGGAGATGTAGAAGGATTTAACAGTGTTCTTGCAAAGCTGGAAAACAGGAATGTGCATTTTGGCAAGCAGAAATGAACAAATTCATAGAAGATTTTGAAGAAAGAAAAAAAAAAATCTGCCTGATAACTGCCTGGAAAAACATGGTAGGATTCTGGTCCTGCTAAAACCACTGACTCATTTCATCTGACTTCAATAAGGCTCGTATTCAAACCTGCAATTTTCACAATGTTTTGTGTGGCATTTTCTCTACCAGGAGAGACAGCAAGTGCTTTGCTGAGGATCATACTTAATATGCATTTGAGTTTGGCCTACTTTTTGAAGAGTGCATGGTGTTTACTGAGTGACTAATCACACGATTTTATGCAGCATTTCTGATGGCTGATTCCACACAGACATTACTTTTTGTTGTGCTAGTCTCTTTTTCTTTAAAAGCAAACAAATTAAGAGAACTTCAAGTTATGCAGATAAGAAAGACATTTGTTACTTTGCTTTAATAAAGAAGAGAGCAAAACCTTATTGGAAGAGAAACACTGCAAAAACGCTGCTGAAGCTATTTGCTGCCTTACAGTACACTCCAGTTTGAATTAGCGAGAAAGTTTTGCTCAGGCCCCCTGAATAGGGTTTCTTTTAAAGAACTGCAGCTTGCAAAGTTTAATAATAATTAAAATAATTCAAATTTAATTTGCTTACTTTACAAATATATTTAGAAGTGTGCTTATCTATCAAGTACCAAAATATTTGGATAATATCAAGGTAAGACAGACATTTCAGAAAATAATCTGAATTTACTTTTTAAATAGAAAAATTATAATCATTTTCTGTTTTGTGAAAACTTTCCTCTGAAAAGAGCCAGGATATATGGACAGTTCTCTCACATGTACTAATTTCAAAAAACTTTGGGATTATCAGGATATCTGTAAGCTGCAGTTGAAAGCTGTTTGGACTAGAAATAGTGTCACATTCTACAAACACACTAACTTGGATGAAAAAGACCTTTACCAAGCAGACTTCAGTCATGCTTCCTAACAGCTTCAGCTGTGGCAAACAAAGGCAATGCTTCTCAGTATACTCACCAAAGACTGTCCTGGCAGGTACAGATTCTCTGTTCAGCCAGAATGACACTTGAGAGAGAATGACAGTCATGATACAGGGGAGGTAAGTCTGAATGACAAAATAACCAATTTTTCTCTTCAAGTGAAAATGAGCCGTCATTACTGTGTATTCGCCTGGGTGCCACAAACAAACAAAATACAATGAAAAAATAGGTTATCATCTTAAGAAAGTCCACTTCTTTGGTAAAAGAAAGTTTGGTACATTTATGTGAACCAAATGTGCTAGGGTTAAACTGCACAGAAGGTATTTTGTAGTAGAAAGTATTCTGCAGAACATAAGAAAGTTCTTGAGTACAACTACATCTTATTCCCACTGAGCTCCAGGAAAGTTCGGTGTTCAGGAACTTACAGGAACTCTTGTATGCCCTGACAAGAACTTCAGCCCTGCAGGCTTCTGTACATAAGCAACTCCCTGCGTTCACACAAAGGCACCCTGAGAATTTAATCTACAGTCAGAAGGCAATCATAGGGGTTCATCACAGCCTGGCACAGGTAGGAACACAGAGTAATCCAGTCTTTAATGCCAAAACCCTGATGTAAGGAAAAAATGGTTGTAACGTGCATGCTTCACCATTTAGTAGACAAAAAGTGTCATTTATCGAATCATAGAATCATAGAATCACTTTGGTTGGAAAAGACCTTTGAGATCATCGAGTCCAACCTTTAACCTAACCCTGACATCCCACCACTAAACCATGTCCCTAAGCACCTCATCTATCCTTCTTTTAAATACGTCTGGGGATGAGGACTCCACCACCTCTCTGGGCAGCCCATTCCAGAGTCCGACAACACTTTCTGTGAAGAAGTTTTTCCTAATGTCTAGCCTAAACCTGCCCTGGCACAGCTTCAACCCATCCCCCCATCGGTTCCCAGGGAGAAGAGGCCGACCCCCGCCTCCCTACAGCCTCCTGTCAGGCAGTTGTAGAGGGCGATCAGGTCTCCCCTCTGCCTCCTCTTCCCCAGGCTGAACAACCCCAGTTCCCTCAGCCGTTCCTCGTATGACTTGTGTTCCAGACCCCTCACCAGCTTGGTTGCTCTCCTCTGGACATGCTCCAGCAATGCAACATCTTTCTTGTAGTGAGGGGCCCAAAACTGAACACAGTATTCGAGGTGCGGCCATGTGAAATTAAATAATTATCCCAGTCTTGGGTTACAAACATTAGGATTCAAGACTGAGCTCCAGATAGCATTAAAAAATGGTCACTGGGGACAAGTTCACCTCTGCTATTTATTATATATATATTTATATGCATATATATATGTTTTTATATATATACGGCATATATATATTACAAGTTACTTAATAACTTGAAAGAATGAATAAAATGCTGCTATGTGTTACTTGTACCATACATTAATAGACTATGCCTGATATCTCACATTGTGCAACAGTCCTTTTGGACTTTTGGGACTGTTCTAACACCACCAGCAATGCCTATGTTCCTCATAGCCGAGTGAGCGCCTTTTTCTTCAAAGTATCTTTTACTAACCTGTACTTGATTTAACTGTCTCTTTTCCAATCGTCTGGCCTAAAAGATCATACTGATTCAATCTTGAGCCATCTGGTGCCACCTGCACTGAATCTGAAGCATTGTAAGTCCAAATGTATGTAACTTCTGAAGTTGTGTACGCATCTGTGGGGAATAACAAAATATTTTGTCAGCAATTTAAACAGCTCCCTTCAAAACTCATAGAATTAGAAGAGCTGCTTATTTTAAAAAAAAAAAAAAAACACCCCAAAAACTTAAAATGACATGGTAAAAAATATGTTTGGCCATTTAAAATAGCTTTACTGTAGAGTAAATGCCTATTGCAGCATGGGACTGGGCACTCATTTGTGGTCTTGCTATTAAATTACAAACAACATATCTTCTACACTGTTAAAAAACTTGTCAGAGATTAGATATTATATGTATCCTAAAACTCATAGTAAGCCAGATGAAAAGAACAATTTGCAAGATTTAGGACACACAACATTTTTGAAAATTCATTTCTATATTGTTTTGAGTTTCCATTCTCCCCACTCTCCACTTTGAGAGTGTATCACAAGCATTTCATTATTAGCTGGAATTCATACCTAAACACAGGAAGCCAAGTTCACTGACAAATCCCTTAACAAACTTGTAGTGGTTCTGTGCCTCTCCCTGCATATCCTCTTAAATTTCACTCCCTGGCGTCTTTTTGTGGGACACGCTGACATTAAGCAGGCTGCTCTCTCAGTACATTCATGATCAAACATACATTTAGTCTAGGGTCTGTCAAAATAAACTAGAATGAAAGTAAATCAACACTGTACTTTAAACAGCATTAATGCCTCTCCAGTAGATAAGAAAGAAAAAAATTACGTCCTGCAAGTTTTTCCAGTCTAATACCCTGCTAACAAATGGAGTATGAAAGGAAAAGGCTAAACCACTGATGGAAGAAATTGTGTGTTCATTTTGATTGACTGAGACAAGTACATTTTAAGTCTTATACCATAACTGTAGTGAAATGAAAAAGAAAAGCAACATTTCTGATGGGCTGCAAACATTTTCACTTGAGAAATCTCTGGAGGCCCAGAAAGAAGCTTCTCCATGCAACTAGCCACAATTTGCATGACTAACAAAATCTAGCAGGTGGGTAGCACATAGAGATTTTTAACACTTCCCTTCTGTCTTTCTAGCTTTCTGCAAGAAGACCTCTGCTTTAATGCAAACCAGCAGTTTTGCCAGTTGCTGATTTGTCTCCATCCTCACCGCTGTTGGCTAGACTTTTTGATAAGGGTAAAGAAAGGCAATCTATTAAGCTACAGCTTCTCCAATACATTCACTTTGGCTTTTCTCTTATGTATAGAAAAAAAATGAGCCATTTGTACAGGCCAATGATCCTCCTAGCAGTGTAAGGTTAGCAGCATATGAAGAGCTGTGGCAAATACATACCACTGGCAGACTTGCCTCAGCTAAACCAAAATCCTCAGGATTCCTGCTTATTTTCACCACTATTCATCACTCAAATTCTATCCCAGAATAAAAGGTGAAAAATGCACAGCAGTCTAGAAATGAGTTCTAGGTAAAGAAATAAAATGAGTGTGAAGCCGTTCAAAATGAACAGAATAAAAGAGAGCCCTGGATGTGCCAACAGGCTGGAGCACAGGTGACTACAGGGGAAATGAAAGACAGCTTTTCTAAAATCACATTGCTCACAGTTTGAATTCTCCTGTTTACTAGAAAACCAGAAACCATGGTCAGAGAAAAAAGAACAAATTAGTAAGCAAAAAAACCCAACCAAATAATCAAGAGAGAAAAAAAAAAAGAAAAGAAAAGACACAAAGTCTAATATATCTAGTCAGAAGGGTTTCCAACTTAGGAATGCAAATGAAGTCGTACTATAAAGTAGCCTCTTGGCCAGAGTATCAGTTTCATTATTATGGGTGATTTTAAGTTGTTTTGAGGCTACATATGAGTCTTTTTTCCTCCCAGACCTTATAAATCAAACATACCTTGATGTGCACATATATATGTAAATATTAATAGTCAGTAGCCGGTTTTGGCTAACATCTCTGGAGTTCGTTAGTTAAGATGTATTATGTATTATAAATATAATATTTAGAGGGAAAAAAAGGCTCCTTGATACAAGTATTATTAATTCTAATGATCTTTCATCTATATAGCTAAGATTTCCCTCTTCCGTGAAAACATCATCAGAAACACAGGCTTGGTTTAACTTGCTCCAAACTCCAAGGAAAAGGTGTATGTCATGGTTATGAAGAGTGTGCACAGTGCTCTGACAATGTTCATCTGGTTAGTGATATCCTTAGTGGCAGCATATCATGTTTTGTAACTTGTGTTGGCTGCAAGTAATGTAAAATCAAACAGAATTTAAAGATATTAACCCATTTCCTCAAAAAAAACCATCCCCTTTCCTGGGCCCAGCAGAGAACGTAGGCTGCAGCCAAAGAAAAAAAGAAAACCTTCTAGTGTACAAAATCCAGGAAATACATATAATGTGATCCTAATTCACAAAGAAGAAGAAGAAAGGCTGTAAAATAGGTAAATGAAGTTATGCTGATGTTAAAACACTACTAGTGACATCAAAGTCCACCTGTCTGTAACACGCAGATGAGCTAATGAGTAAAATTTTTTATCACAAGAAGCCATTTGTGCTTGTCTTCATTGACTAAGAATGTAAAAACGAGTATCATTAACAATAAAGAGTAAATAAATGTTTCTATAAATGAAAACAAGCATTCTTTGAAGTCTTTAATCTGCTCTTCATTAATACTACACAGGCTATGTGCACCCAGGTCTGCATTCATCGGTACGGTTTGCACGCCGGAATAAAAGTAGATCAGTGCAGTGCTGAAATAGGTGCACAGTATTTGCTGTTAACTGGAGTCAAGAAAGTTTTAAAATGCATTAGAAGACACAACACTGAATAGAGAAAAGAGATTTCAATGTGTCCGGTTACAATTTTTTTTAAAAAATACCATCTTGTGCTTTAAACCTCTCATGTAACAACTTACCGAAACAAAGTGATGCTGAGCAATGTTAGATATTCACTGACCAAAGGCTATACTTCTCTTTATATACTTACAGCTGCCAAATTTCAGTGGGCATGAGTGAGCATCCATAGGGAAGTCCTCCAAGTGCATTGGACATTCAGCTTGGACTGTAAGCCTAAAAGGCAAAAGACCGCTATGCATTTAAGTCAGTTAGCAGGACAAGAAAATAAATTCCACAGAAATGAACAGAGTTCATATGCTGATTTAGGAGATGAAACTGAAATGTTATATTAAACTAATTAAAATTTAAATCAGCTCTTGCTTCTTCCCTTTTATGTGTTCCTTTGGAAGGCATTGACTTATCACATCAAAAACCTGAAAGAACTGACCTCAAAACTGTGAGGAAAGGCCATTTAAACGAAAATATAAATTATGTAACTGCAGGTTGTTAAGAACAGTCATTTTCTTCTCATAATATTCTGAGGTACGCGTGTGATTATATGGCTCTCAAAGGCTCATTACAAAAGCACATAAACTACAGTTAATTTGCCAAAGGACTGTGATCCATAGTTTTCTGAATTTATTTCTTTTACAGTTTGAATGGAAGATGCAGAAAGAAAATCCCTTTGTGTTCTTTCCAGACATTGCTGCTACTCATTTTCCATGTTACTTGTGATTATTATTTTTATTTATGTATAAGCATGACAGGATGTTAACAATGCATTCACTTTCGCTCATTTTGTCAAAAAATCCCAGCAATATCCCAATATCAAGTACAGTTCTTGCTGGAAAGAATTTGAGGACTTATTAACCCTTTCTTCTTCTTCTTCTTCTTTACTTTTATTGCCACTGACCTTAATAATAAATTTACTTAAGGGCTCACATGGTTGGTACAAGGGTTTCAGTAACAGGCAAAAATCATATACTATTTCAATCGTCCTAAGATGGAGTTGATAAACTTTGAGTATTCTTAACAATTCTTGCACAGTGATTCCCATCTGAAGGTCTCAAAGCACTTTATGCAGGTGGTCAGCATCTTTTAATATATTACAGAAGTATGAAAACTGAAGAACATGTAGGAAAACTGATCTAACTCATAATCAGCCAACAGACTTGTAACAGAATTGGAAGCAAAATGTACATTTTCCGAGCTTTCTTTCTGCTGGGACATAAAAGAAACAAAGGAGAGTCCTCCTAGAACCATATTTAACTATTTTCTGGAAAAATCCCATTGAGAAATAGCTTGAGTAGAGAAGAGATGAAAAGACTTACCTCATGGTGTACAAGAGAGTCCCATCATCTTGGATTCGTAGCAGCTTGTTTGGCATTGTCATGTTATGAGCCACTGACTTCTTCCCATTGTGAAAAAATGTATCTGGGGTCCAGATTTTGCTGGCCATTAAGTTGTTCAATCGAAGAATGTTCATTGGGCCCTTAAACTTTAATCTCTCATCCTTCCATCTCTGACGGAAGAAAACGTCTATTGTGTATTCCTGTAATGGAATAAAGATAGGATTTTTTTTGACACAATGAAACATTAATCTGCTTTTTGAGGGCCAAACCAGAAAAGCTCTGGTTGCAAAAATTCCCTTGGTACAATTGTTAGGGGAGAACAACCACCACGCAGAATCGTGTAATACTGAGAATGATAAACAGGAAGTCAATTTATGAAGGGTATGACATTCTCCTCCATGATTGCTAGCTGTTGTTTGTATATCGAACCCTTCCAATACTTAGATTTCTGTACCTGATACACATAGTAGGTGTGACAAGGGTAATTTCAATAAGCACAACTATTTCACATTAAGAAGTAAGAAAAAAATATGCAGAAGTGTATTAAATAGTTCCCGCAGCAGATGCACCTGAAGGAGAGTAACCCAGCATTTCAAGAGCACAGAGAATGGCTGAGACTAGAAGGAAGGAAACAAAGCCACCCACAAAAGGTGCAATATATCCAGGCAGGCTGATATAAGGAAGATTCTTCCAGAGGGGAAAGTAAGGTCCTGTAGTGGTATGGATCTTATCAACAAAAGTACATGGGTAGGGAACAATAGCTGATGATTAACAGGTGACACACACTGTCTGCTGAACTTTACTCTGATGCCTGATCTTGGGAAGGCAGTACAGTCTGGAGAAAAGGATGCAAGGGAAAACAGACTGGTGATCTAGACCAGATGCCTGTGTCACTCAGGGCTGGGTGTCCCATCTGCTGGGTTTTGTTGATGTTCTAAACAAAGGAATAAAAAAGATTCTGATTAAACACTGATAATGTAAATTCATCAACTAACTTCAAATTTGGTCCATAAATGGATTTAGTGGTTTGCTACTGTCAGCACAGCACATAAATTGGAAATGGAAGAGCTTAAAAACTTTGCTGGAAGCAAACTGTATTCTGTGTATTGGCAGTCCCCGTCACTTTCTGCTGGCTCCCTTATGTGCTGATTAACAAGGCTTAAGTTTTTTCTCAGTCAATCATGCAGTGGTACAGCAGGAGTGCTAAGCAGACAGCGAGAAGCAACAGCCCTGTTCAGCTCCTTTGGTCTGTGAGCCAAGGAGCTGTGAGGACCTTTTCCAAGTCAGGGCCAGAGGCTAAGCAAGCATGTGGAATAAAGGAAAGAGAATTCTGTTACCTGAAGGAGCATGGCAGGGGCAGGGGAGAAAGCAGTTGTCATTAGGAACTGTGACAGGAATGATGTACTGGGATACTTATGAACTAACCCGACAAAAACCACAAGCACAGTTTTTAGCTATATCAAGAGGTCTTACATTACTACAATACAACTTAGTCATTTTTCCAATTAAAATTATAATTGCTCAACCAAATATTGAATAAAACTAATACTACAGTACACTGAAAATTAATTTGCTTGGGTTTCTTTAATGCCAGTTGTTATTATCTCTAATAATATTTTAGTAAATATATTTGTGAAATACAAAAGTATACACTTCTAAAACATGTATTTCTTTGACATTATACCTGATCTTTTCTTCCTCTCCTCACTGCCAGCAACACTGCCTCATGACAAGTAGTTTGCCCATTTCTCTATGATAGATCACATTAAATTGTCCTGTTTTATTTGCTGATTCATATTTATTTGCTAAATATTGTGTGACTTAAAATCCCATTTACACATCCCAAGTAATCTGTCAGTTCAGTTGTAGACCAGGGAAAGTCATAAAATGCAAAAAATCATGGAGGATCAGGAAAAGGAATATATGAAAACTGGCTAGAAATACAGGTAACTCAAGGAAAACAATTGCCCCTAAAAGGCTCCTTGTGGTTTCTGTCTGAGGGGCTTTGCCAATAAATCATTGCTATGTATGGTAAGATTGATGTTTGAGGTACAAAGAAGCAGAAAGAAGAGCCTGAGGGAGCGAGACTTTGAAATCCCACTGAAATTCAACAGAAGCGAGTGGTAAGTCCTACAGGTTCCTTTGACAAATATCCCTGCACATAAATGATTAGAATATAAATCTTAAGTTTTTGTAATGTTTCATCAATAAAGAATTTCAAAAGTCCCACTTCTTGACTGTCTTCCAACATCTATAAAAAGAATTACAAGAGATATAAAACAGAAAAAAAAAAAAAAACGAGACATGAAACACCACTAAATCAAAACAGCAACATTTCAAAAAACACATTTGATGCATGGCAACTGCTTAGGAAGTGGAATAAGCAGGAGAGAATCTGAGCTGCAGCCTTGAAAGATCCCACTGATAAATCGCTGACTGATCCACAAGGAATTCTAATCTCTCCATCCAATCCATGCTGGAAATCTTTATTTGCAGAACATCCCATTTAGAAGATGGAAACAAGGAATAAAACAAGGCTTGGTGGGAATGATCATGAACATCTTCTTCCATTTATCCCAACAGCAAAAAAATCTCACAGAGTTCTTAAATAACTTATCTTTCTATAGACCTCAGTGCATTATTCAAAGGAAGCATTAGGATCTCAATTTCGCATGAAGGGGAACCACGGCACAGAGATGAAATTAACTTATCCCGGTCCATTTACAGAGTGATTATGAAAAGCAAAATACAATCCATGTCTTTTGTATCCCAGTGCTATATTCACTGATCCCATGTTCCCTCCTGAGCCAGATCTATTCTACTTATGAACATAAACAGCCCTATGATGATTATCATAGAAAAAAAATTAAAAAACAGGAAACTATTAAAGTATTTTGAATATAATCAATGGTATAAAAAGCCAGCATTTATGAAAAGATGCTACATAAAGATTTTGTAACTATTTCCTATTCCATATATGTACCACTTTGTGGTAAATGCTGTGTGATGTTTACTTTCCAAGCAAGACTAACATTCTCTTAGAAATGCAAATCTGGACTCCAGAAAAATCTAAAGACTCAAATTAATACCTGATACTCATTTCATACAATCTGCAGATATTGTCCTATATGAAAAAACCTGTGCTGTCTCAGGACATTACCAAACCATTCTCCAGTATATAGCGCAGTATCTGTACAAAATTACAAGAGCACACTTCCAGGACTACAAAGGATTCCTGTGATCATTCCTAGAGAAGCAAATGCTTCCTACTGATTTGTATCTGAAATGGTGCTTTCAGAGCTGGGTTCTAACACAGTACAATTAAATATAATTTTTCAAATATGTATTACACCAGCTTACGTGAAATTTTAGGTACAGATGATAAGATTCTTACTACAGTGTTAAGAAGCACTTGAGCCTCTGCCAACTCAGTGGTCAGAAGAATAAAATGGTGAAGGAATTCAATTTTTCTTTTAATATGAAGTTGTTGTGTACAACAGTATGCACAGCAAAAAAAGACATTAGAATCTCTGGGAGAAGCTTTAACTGACCTGAGTATAATCAACCTTCCTCACTACATGGCAGTCATCTTCTTTGCTAAGGCCAGATTTTTATGGGAAAAGTTCAAACAACAAAAAATGTACTCTAATCCTCTCAGCTAATGTTTGGCAGATTTTGGCAGTCTTTGCATCTGTAGTAAAGATGGGAGTGTTCCAAACATCTCAAAAATTGTGAGTGTCTATTAGCAAGCAGTATTGTTGCGGAGCAGACTGAACATTTTATTAATAACCCTCTGGAACATGGCATTTTGTTTAGTGAATAGTTCAGGCCAGAGTTCCTCATTCACTGCTTGTGAAGATTTTTCTGAGTCAATTCTCTAAAGAAAACTTGCCTTTTCTTGACCACTGCTAAAGCCATTAACTGACACATATATATAGCCATGAAAGCAAATTTTAAATACCGTAAAATATAAAACTTTAAAAAGGCAAATACAAAAAAACTAAAAATAAGGAAAGCGAAAATGGCACACATACCTTTTTATTGATTCCTTAAAGACAGTCAGAAATACTGTGCTTGATACATTGATGAGATAAATACATAAGATTCATGGATTTAAATCTCACCTAGCCAATATAGGGGCTTCATGTTAATATTTATATTTAAACTGATATAATTTCTTAATTTTAGTTCTTAAAAAGTACATTATTGGTGTCATATCTACCTTAAGGTAATGTGCAATTTTTTCTTTCAAATTAGCTTAAAAACATTAACAATATTAGTATGCAACCAGTACTGTTGAATACTACCATGGTTGGTATGCAACTGAGTATCAAAACCAATTCCAAGAAAACCAAGGAGGACTTTTAGAAAGGAGATGCAAAAAATGCAATTATTCAAAGAAAATAATCTGCCCTGTATTTGCATTCTTACTATAATCTGATATTTGTAGGTTTGATGAGTGCAAGTTTATGATGGAATTTCTGCAAATTAATTTAGCAAACTTCCTCACTAAGCATTTGGATGAAGCTTTTAAGTGAATGCTGAAATTAGCTTTGCAGTAAGAGGATCAAATCATTCATTTGTTGACTTGGTCATTGCATTTTTTGTGCGATAGACTTATGCATGGTGCAAATGGCATACGCAGGGGCTAACACACTACAACAGTCTGCAAAACCCCATAGTCCTTGAAGTACACCATTGTACGGCCTGGCTTTACCTAGTCCTGTCTCCTGTCTACCAGATTGGACAAACAACATTTCTAACATCTCCATCTCGCTTTCTGCTTATCTCTTCTCTTAAAAAAAAAAAAAAAAAAAAAAAAAAATTGTCCAACAATATCAGGACCGAAAGAGTTTAGGATGCACTTCTCCTCTCCCCAAAAACCCCTCAATGCTCCAGTCACAAACACCGACTACTCAGGCTCTGTAAAAGTAGTTTACTAGCTGTGTATCTAACATCAAATCTCATTGCACAGATGTATAAACTGAGTCCATTTGTTCTTTCCCAAAACTTACCTTCTGATATGAACAAAACACAGAACAGGGAAGGAAACAGCAGACAGACAGAAATTCCTTTCAGGTCTGTGGGAGGTGCGGATCTTATACACCCATGAATAGAATTCTTGAAAATACTCTGAATAAACTCCATTATGAAGGAGGGCTGTGATTCGAAACTGCACTGTTGGTTATTTTTTGTCAAA